AAGAATACTCCCTGAGGTATGATTACGGAGCGATAACTGAAATTTGTCGGTTTTGTACTCCGTTATTACTCGCTTAGGAGCACAAAGCGATGTCTCCTAAGAGAGTAATCCAGGAGTATTCCTTTTTATTGATAGGGGAGCTATAAGCACCTCGTTCAAAAGAAATTGCGTATTATTGGAAAAATGTATCATAAGGAAAACTACAGAAAATATTTCATATACATAGAAACAATAAAAAAAGGATGCAATAATTGAATGTCGATAGCACACAGTTAAATGAAGGTCTGTCGGTATGTATTGCAACTTCTGTTTAAATTTATTAAATGTTGTTTTCTATACCGCTAAATACTTTTCAGATTAGCAAATTAGTATCAGCATTTACGTATGACCACCTGGTTTTAACGTTCATATAATGCCGGTCCAGAGCTTTTACTGGGGGACATAGCTATTAGATGGGCAAAGTAACCTTCACATTGATCGTGGTTAAAACAAGAAAGTTTTATACACTCTCCCTATTTGCGTAAGCTCCTGAACACCCAAGCATTCCTGACACCACCCTGCAAAAAATTGTGCGACTAATCTCTAAAGAGAGTATTCCGAGATTACTCTCAATCGGGTACAATTGGGCATTAATTAGTCGCAACTAGTCTCATACAGGTACTAATGGAGATCAATTAGTCTCGACTCATCCCGTATGGGTATAATTGGAGATCAATTAGTCCCCAACTCATCTCTAACCGGTACTATTAACGATTTAATGATATGTACGCACTTAGTCAATGAAATCTCATGTCCGGCGTTGGCACACAGAGAGAGTATTCGCCTAACAAAACTGAGCACCCCGGTTCGAATCTCAGCTGGCGCAAATTTTTATTTTTATTTTTTAAAAGTGACTAGTCCCTTTTTATACCCATTCGGGTATAAAGGTGAACAATTAGTCTCTTCATAGGACATGCTCGAACAAAAGCGATCAGTTCATTCCATATAAAGAGATCAAAAGTGGTATTAGTCGCATGCTCCTTTGCGATTGCTCCCGGAGTCATCGAGGACCAGTCCCATTTTTTGCAGGGCAGGAAATCATGTAGTTATCTCACCGTTTTATTATCGTTCTGTTTTACTTTGAATGCATTTGCCCGCATTAGAATTCCAATATTAATCAAAAATGTAATAAGTATTATTTATGTATGTTTTGTCTGATCTCGTACTTATGTTACTGTTAAGATCTTTTAATATTGTATACATGCATGAGATTAAAAAATTAAATAAATGGATTGCGTAAATAGCAAAATCTTTTATCTAATATGTGAGGCAATGAAGCGCTCTTTTATCACTCGTACAGGAGGCTTTCGGGATGCCTCTCATGGGAGCACTCCCATATTGATCGTTCGGGAGGAATGTGGGATGTTTTTCTATGTGCACTCCCTTGTTGTCTTTTTGGGATGGATAGGGGAGGATTTTATGGGAGTACTCCCGTATTGCTCCATTAGAAGGTTTGTGGGATGATAATTCTGTGTGTGCTCCCCGATTGCTCGTTTAGGAGGTAAAACGGATTACTCCCCCTCCTAGGACATCCAATGTTAAAGGGAGTATACAAAATTACATGCTTATACACAGAAGCATAGGGAGCAATGGGGAGTATTCGTATACTCCCAAGGGAGTACTCACCGAGCAATCGTACGATGCACCCAAGTTCTACTGGGTGGTGAAATAATAATAAGGTGTTGTCACTTAGGGGGTGGTAGTTGTAATTTTGGCAATTTCGACATACCAGCGTTACAGTAATGCCTACTCTATCGAATAAACAGTGAGTTTGGTAGTTTCAAAATATTTTTATTTGCAAATAGCTTACGTATAAACTATGATAAAAACATAGTAAGGTAAAACCGTTCTCTCAACTCGTCGGCCATGATTTTTTTTTTAAGTTTGTCAACATTTTAAAATCATATAAAATTTGTTGGCAGCATATCATGCACTAATGGCAACCCTAAACGCATTTCTTTACATTGACATTCCGAGAATTATCACCATCGTAGACGGCCGCGTTGTAAGGAGCACGATCTTGTATACTTATAAATTTTATAGTTAATAGTTAACTTCCATATGCAAATATCTATCTACTTTCTCCGTTAATAAATAGTGTTAAGAGCAATACCTAAGTCTCTTGCGTGCTTTTACTTTAACACTCGAATATCAAGGTAAAAAGCGTAACAGTGTGGCGACGAGGATGTCGGCGGCGCGCAATAATTAAAAAAAAAAAAAAAAAAGACTGACGGTGGTTGCATTTTCTCGGAAGCACTAGCGCTCCATCGACCTTCAAATGTTGCGTTGAAGGGCAAAATCAAAACCAGCGGTATTTTTGTTCATCGGTATTTGCGCATCACATACGGTTAGTCACACAAATACAGCAGCGCAACACAAAATAAGTAGCGGTATTGCAAACGCAGCCCAGGCGAGTACATCGAACGGGTTACCGGTAGCTGTGCACTCAGATAGCAGCAACAGCAACGAGTGAACAACAAGAATACCAGACAGACAAGTAGCATAGGCGCAAAGTTAATTTGGCGCATATTTTTACCAAAGAGTTTTTGCATCGCCCGACGACACGTAATGGCATTGGACAGCGTAGTGGCAAAGTTGTTGGTCCAACAACAGGAAGCATCAGAACGGCAGCAGCGGTTAATTGAAACGCTGGCGAGTTTAATACAGAACAACAAAGGGGGTAGTAGTTTGCAGCAACAACAGCAGCCAGAGGCATTAGCAGACATCATTTCTCGCGGTATTCATGAGTTCATTTATGACCCAGATAATAACCAAATTTTCTCAAATTGGTTCAGCAGGTACGAACAGCATTTTACGGAAGATGCGAAATCATTGGACGACGCCTGCAAAGTTAGACTTCTCTTAAGAAAATTGAGCCCGCAAGTTTACGAACAATACGCAAATTGTATTTTACCGAAGCTACCTAAAGACTGCGATTTCCAAAATACAGTTCGGCAATTGAAAAAACTTTTTGATCGTCAAGAGTCAATATTCAGTGTGCGTTATAAATGTTTACAAATCACCAAAGAAGAGTCCGAAGATTATACCGCATACTCAGGTCGAGTAAACAGTCAGTGCGAAAAATTTTTCCAAGGCAAAATGTCTTCTGCGGAATTAAAAGTGCTTATATTTATATGTGGACTTCGATCACCGGCATATAACGACATTCGGGGAAAATTGCTTTCAATGCTAGATACAAATGTAGATACCACATTGGAGCAATTGACATCAGCAGCGCAAAGACAAATTGTTTTGCGTGACGATACAAAGCTTGTTGAAACCACAAATTCTTCGACGGTGAATGCGATTTCTGCAGATGGTAAGTCAGAATTTCGTTCAAGTAAACAAAAGCTAAAAAGCCATACCAAACCAACCAATCAAGTAAACGAAGTACCAAAACGTCCATGTTGGCAATGCGGAGCCATGCATTTTGTTAAATATTGCACGTACTCACAACACAAGTGTAAAGATTGTGACAAAATTGGGCATAAAGAAGGTTATTGTAGTTGTTTCTCTAAACGAGCAAGTGCCTTAAACTCAGGTCAACGTAAAATTAATCGAAATACGCAAAGAAAATTTCAGCAACGTAGAAATTTTAGAACGAAAGTTGTTGTAGCCAAGCACAGTGTGAAGAGCATAAACAACATTAATATGCAGCGCAAGTACATTAATGTGGTCGTAAATTCGTGTCAAATCAAGCTACAATTCGACACAGCCGCAGATATCTCTCTGATTTCAAAAATTAATTGGGCGAAGCTAGGTAAACCAGCATTACATACGTGTGAGCATAAAGCATCAGATGCATCGAAGAACCAAATCCCTCTTATGGGGCAATTCGAAGCAATAGTAACTCATAAAAACACATCGCATAGCTGTATAATTTACGTCACAAGCCTCCCAAACTTAAACATTTTTGGGATAGATTTAATTGAAAAATTCGGATATTGGGACACACCCATTCGTTCGGTTTGCAATGTAATTACAAGCAATATGAATAAAGATGCGATATTCAAAGTCATTCTAAGTAAATATCCAGAAGTGGTCCAACAGCATACAGGCCACTGCACCAAATTTAAAGTCAACTTAGAAATAAAACAAAATTGTAAACCCGTGTTCAAAACGAAAAGACCCGTACCATATGCATCATTAGCAGCGGTAGATCAAGAGCTAAACAGACTACAAGATGAAAATATCATCACACCTATTACACAGTCAGATTGGGCAGCACCCATAGTAGTTGTACGTAAGCCAAATAATCGCATTCGAATTTGTGCTGATTATTCGACAGGTTTAAACGATTGCATGGTACCTAATCTGTATCCAATTCCGCATGCAGATGATATATTCGCACAAATGTCGCTTTGCAAATATTTTAGCAAAATAGATTTATCCGACGCTTACCTTCAATTGGAAGTCGATGACGAATCCAAGAAAATTCTCACGATAAACACGCACAGAGGTCTTTTTACATTTAATCGGTTACCACCAGGACTAACCTCTGCACCAGGTGCTTTTCAAAAAGCTATGGAAACTATCCTCAGCAATTTAGAGGGAGTTATAACATATCTGGATGACGTGATCATAGCTACACCTTCAATACAAGAAAATTACAAAATGGTTATGAACGTAATGGAAAGGTTCAAAGAGCACAGTCTCACGATAAACTGGTCAAAATGTGAAATTTTCAAAACGTCAATAAAATACCTGGGACACGTCATTGATGAAAAAGGTATACATCCAGATGCATCCAAAGTGGAAGCAATCAACCACATGTCGATACCTACAAATGTAAGCGAACTCAGATCCTTTTTGGGAGCGATAAACTACTACGGCAAGTTCATAAACCGTATGAGAAATATTCGATATCCACTTGATGAGTTATTGAAAGCAAATAAAAATTGGAAATGGACGTCGGAATGTGAGAAGTCATTTAACGATTTCAAACAAATATTGCAATCGGATCTTGTGTTGACACATTATAATCCTTCACTTCCTATATCCGTAGCAGCAGATGCATCCATTGTTGGTATAGGAGCACAAATTTTTCATACTCTGCCAGATGGAACAAAAAAAGTCGTATATCACATCTCAAGAGCACTTACTTCGACAGAGAAGCGGTATAGCCAAATAGAGAAAGAAGCGTTAGCACTCGTATATGCATGCACAAAATTTCACAAAATGATATACGGACGTAAATTCACGCTATTAACGGACCATAAACCACTGCTTACGATTTTTGGTTCCAAGAAAGGCATCCCAACGCACACCGCCAACAGATTACAAAGGTGGGCATTAATTTTAATGAGCTACGATTTTCAAATTCAGTATGTCAAGACCACAGAATTTGGAAATGTTGATGTTCTATCACGGCTTATAAGTCAACAAAGACAACAAGATGAAGAATTCATCATAGCCAAAATTTTTGTTGAAAACGAAATAAAAACTATCCTTCAAGATAATATAAAAACGTTACCAGTTACACTTGCGATGATAAAACAGGCCACGAAAAACGGTAACACACTTAGCAAAATCATCGAACGCGTTAAGGAAGGATGGCCAAAATCATCAAAGCAGCTTGCGGCGGACGAAGAACTATTTTTCAACCGAAAGGACTCATTGTCAGTCGTTGACAATTGTGTCATGTATTCAGATCGAGATTTTTCGAAAGCGGATCCTCAAGCAGCTACATAGAGGGCATCAAGGTAGCGAACGTATGAAAGCGATTGCGCGATCGTACGCTTACTGGCCAAGGATCGACGCGGATATAGTTGCGTTTGTGAAACAATGTCAAAGTTGTGCGTTAAACGCAAAATCTCCGACAAAAGCCAAACTAAGCTCATGGCCAATCACGAAGAGTCCATTAGAGCGAGTACACATTGACATCGCGGGTCCTATTCGAGATAAGTACTATTTAGTTATGGTAGATGCGTACTCAAAATGGCCAGAAGTAGTGCAAACAACGACAATTTCAACAAATGAAATCATCAATCATTTGCACGAGTTCATCAGTAGGTATGGACAGCCGAGAACTTTAATTTCGGACAACGGTACGCAGTTCACAAGCTCGCAATTTGCTCAATTCTGCAAAGAAAGGGGAATACAACACATCTTCACACCACCATATCACCCCCAATCGAATGGCCAAGCAGAGCGTTTTGTGGACACCATTAAAAGAGCATTGGCAAAAGCGTTTTCCGAAAAGTCACCGAACGACAGATACAACCTACTTGTTTTTCTTTCGCAGTATCGTGCCACGCCAAATCCAAGTGCACCGGACAGTCATGCGCCATCCGAATTGTTCATCGGAAGAAAGATCTCAACTCCGTTAGACCTACTAAAGTCACACGTTGTATCTCATGAGAAAAATACAGTAATGGAGAGCGCCTTCAATAATAAACATGGGGCAGCTCAAAGAAGTTTTAAGTCGGGGGACCTAGTGTTTGCAAAGGTATTTCACAACAACAAATGGTCGTGGTACCCAGGCACTGTTATCGAAAAAGTCGGCAGGGTCGTATACAACGTTCTCGTAAAATCCAGGAAGCGAAATGAACTTCAGCGGTCACAGGCAAACCAACTGCGAAACCGATTTTGCGAAGATGAAACGAGTGATACCGAAAATAGCCAAGACTTTACTCCAGCGACTGTCGAATCAGATCCTGTTCCGGTACTACGCCGTTCTACGAGGCAACGCAGGCTTCCCAGACGTTACCTCTAAAAACGAAGGGGGATGTTGGCAGCATATCATGCACTAATGGCAACCCTGAACGCGCAATGTCACCAATGGCATTTCTTTACATTGACATTCCGAGAATTATCACCATCGTAGACGGCCGCGTTGTAAGGAGCACGATCTTGTATACTTATAAATTTTATAGTTAATAGTTAACTTCCATATGTAAATATCTATCTACTTTCTCCGTTAATAAATAGTGTTAAGAGCAATACCTAAGTCTCTTGCGTGCTTTTACTTTAACACTCGAATATCAAGGTAAAAAGCGTAACAAAATTGATAGTAAAAAAACGAAATTGTTCAAAGTTATTGTTGTTTGAGATTGAAAATGAGAATGTGTGTGTGACTTTGTGTGTAAAAAATTAAATTGCTTGCAAATGTCAAGAATTTGAATAATTCCTCTCAGCTATTCTACCTTCCTATTTTCATTGGAAAATTTTAGCGATACATAACTTCAAATAATTGTGATTTTTTAAGTAAATTTTTGGTAAAATATATACTACACATATCCAACAGATTATTGGAGCAGAAATGTAATTTTAAAATATTAACGAAAATAAAGGTCGTAATAAAATTCCCTTTAAAGTTAAGATATTTAAAACCTAAGTACGCATATACATGTACTTCAGAACTGAAGGAAAAAAATACAAATAAAATTCCATACGGGTTAATATGTAATTTTTAGTAGAATTTAAGAATAATTAAATAAAGAGAACGGTATAATTTAATTTGTTTTAATATGAATAAATGAAAGACGGAAAATAGCCTTTATTTTTTCAAGTTTTAACCATCATCATATGTGTGGTACGACCGTGTGGCCTTTGAGTTTTACAAACTTAATAATTTTAAGGTAGAAAAATATAGCTGAATAATAATTATTAAAATCAATATATTTGATCGAAAAAATAAAAATTAAGTAATGATAATTTCTTTTGAGCGAAAAAATGAAACTGTAGTTATACTGGTTTACAGAAAAAGTATTTTACTGGCGCAAACATCATTAAACTGGTGTGGGGTCCACGCTATATGTATGTATTGGAAATAGTACCCAAAAAGTAGTAAACATAATCCTAATCTTTTCGCCCTTTTTCTAGTACCCCAAATTGCATGGCCGAAATTGGCATGCAGAAAAAGTGAGGTTATGTAAGTGACATCACCTTACATTTATTTCACCATGTATAAACATCTACTTCGACATCAAACTCGCCTTCCAAAAATCGGAAACTATAGTCGTATGAGGAAGAATCCAACGTTTTATAACGGCCAATAAGGTTTCCTTATCCCTCTGTTCAACGGGAACAAGGAAAAACCTATTGGTACCCCGCTCCACTCCACCAAAAACTCACTGCCCCTCAACACCACGACCCGAATCATACTTCCGGCGGCCGAATTCGCTTTCGCCTATCTCAACGACAGACCCGGCGCCACCGATTTGATACCCTATTCGATTCATACCAGTATACACCACCTCACGGCAACAGTTAGACCAGTCAATAGCGGTCCGCAAAGCATTGTATAGGCTTACAAGCAAAATGTATTCAACAAAGTGTGATTGATTTTGACAATGCTCTCATAAGAAACAGGCTATAATGTCAAACTGAAATGAAGTGCTAACCCATTTGAAAATGTGTTTTTTCAAATTTGAATTTGTTTAAAAATAAATTACACACAAATTTTTCAAGCAACAAATTTCCTTAATAAACGTGAAATTCTTAAGAGATAAACCGCCGAGGAGAGCAAGTAAGTACATTTAAGTTTGGTAATGAGTAAATACGTTCGACTTTGCTTAAATATTTAATGTAAGGAAACCAAGATGAAACGGAGCGATATTTTAAACCACCTAGTTGCGAATTAAGACGGCAGCGATGGGAAGAAAGCTGTGGTGTCATACTACGTGATTCACCTCGCGTTTGTGTTAACAACTTCAAGGAAAGTGATTTCATTAGTTGTCCGTCCAAATCAAGCACTTTCAAACAAGCTTGTTTATACACAGGCACAGTCCCAATGCCATATGAAATAACTGATACATGTGAGGATTTAGTACGCGATCAGGATACATTCTTTGTTGATGCCCAAACTCAAACAGACGACTCTTTAGAATGAACGTTGCGAACAAAAATATTTCGGCTTACCGAAATAATTAAAACCATGCAAGCAAGTATAGAAGAGCTTAAATTAAAACCGCTCGAAGCAAAGTCTTTAATGGAAAACTATTTCGCATGAAAAACAATTGTATTTCATAGTTGTTAGAGTTAAGCTCACATATAAAATTGGAAACAAATGTAAAATCATACTTTTATAAGTGTCGAATAACGTTTAGGATAAAAAATTTAAATATAAAAATAAACGCTCCAAAGCATAAAATTTGGCAATTAAAAACAAGAAAATTGCTAAAACGATCTTATAAACAATTAGTTTTATATTATTGATAAAATATATGTAATGTAAGTAAAACGAAACTATAATCGAAATAAAAGCCTAGGGCATCAGTGCTGACAAGATACATGCATCACTAAGGGTTAATTCGTTTGTTTATACTTTTTGACATCATGATGAAATTAACTGAAGGTGGCGCATTCCCGAAACCGCTACTTTGGTTTTGCCGACTTTGACATTTATGGCAATACGTAAACAAACTTGTTGTTTAGAAACAAGTGCAAACGTATTGCAAACGTATTGTGTACTTTCAAGTAAAAAATCGAAGTAATTCGCATGATACAAAAAAGAAGGTAGTTTCAATAAACAACTTTTTGATTAAAAAGCAGATTTTTGACAATTGCTCAATTGTGAAAAATTCGAAGCGGCGTTACCCAATTGTAAGTTTTTTTGTGTGGGAGATTTAATATCCTAAATTTGGGATTATAAATAAAATAGTTGTGTAATATTTACCTTTTAAAAATAATTAATATCTTATCTTAAAAACGTTTGAATTTTACATTAAATTCGGTAGCAACTTGCCAAATCATTATTTTAATATTAATACAATTTTAGTGAACATATTTTAAAATTTTTTAGGGTCCTCATGTCATCTGATTATTTCACAATGTAGTTTTCTATATCGGATACGATGACTCTGATATAATTCAGACACTGAAATTATACATTTATTTAATACATATTGTCTTTGTCCATTTAACAGCAAATGGAATTTACTTTGGGACCCATAGGCCGCGAAATTTTTCCAACAACACATTGTTTTCAGATGAAATTTTGACACACCCAAAAGTGAAGTATATAATAAATAGGTAAAAGCAAATTTTCAATCAAACTGATTT